ATTGAGTCTTTTCTCGATAATATATCGCTTTTGGGCCATGAATTCATTCGGGCCCAACCATGGATTTTTTGGGCCTCAACAAAGAGCCATAGAGAAACTAAATTTTAAATTCAATTACATATACATATATATAATTGAATAATCAATTTTAAACTCTTCAAGCTAGGTCAAAAGTGGTGCATGAGAATGGAGAAAAAGGCAAGGATTATAATAAGTTTAAAGATGTATTCCCTTTTAATATAAACATAAAAATATATACCAGGGGCGTGATGCTCTGATACCATGTAACTATCTACTTTCATAGTACACAATCAGATACAAAAAGAAAGGCTAACATGAGTTGACTATATTGTTGCCTAAATTGCCTTAATCGACTTTGCCTCCTTAACATAATTTGAGTTTGTGTAAGGCTTTGTAAATCATCAATAGCTCATCTATGCATCTGAAAATAGGGCCCTTGACTCGAAATTAAATGAATTGCGTGATAGAGAAGATGAATATATGATTGGATGAGTTTTGATTGATGTAGGTTCAGAATCCATAGTAAGTTTTACGATTTTAACCCTCAAATTAACGGCAATATTGACGGAGTTAGACGGTAGGACCAATTCGCACCATTATAAAAGTTGAGGGACCATTGGAACGGAAAATTTAGTTAAGAGACCAAAATGCAATTTGGGGACATTTTTAGAGACCATTTGAATTGAAAACGTTTCTTTATTTTTAGCCAAGTTCTTGTAGGTTGCTTCACAAATGGATAAACTTGTCCTCCCCATTTTCATTAAAAGTTGTGTGGTAGCAACACTCTCAAATCCATAATTAGAAAGAAGTAGCCAAGTAACCCATCCACAAAGGAAAGATGCACATGAGCTACAACAAGTAGATGAGTGAAACAACAACGTTGCGGACTAATGATGTTTGGCAAAGAGTCACTTTTGGTCCCTGTGGTCACTGGCGGACCTGTTTTACTATCCTGAGTCAATAACATAATGCCACATGAAGAAATTATCTAAGGCACTAGCGGACCTGTGCAGGCGCAAGGAGGTGCACCTGCACCTCCGGTCGCCGGAAAAGTCCATTAGAGCAGCTGGAGTTGCACCTCTGCTTCACAAATGAGATGCACGCAACGTGTTCGATGAAATGCCCAAACTACCTGGGCTGGGCGCTGCATCTGGTGTGTGCTGCGGGCAACGCGCGCGAGCTTCTATTTTTTTTAAAACAGCCTGGCCAAAACGACGTCGTTTTGGACCAGGCTTTAAAAGAGGCGTTTTTTTAAAAAAAAACCTAGCCAAAACGACGTCGTTTTGGACTAGGGTTTTGAAAAAAAAGAAAAAAGAAAAAAAATAAGGAAACTGATGCTGCTGCTGGGCCATTCTATTGGGCTTTCTAATTTGTATTATTCCTTACTTAATTGGGTTTCCAATTTTCATAATTCCTTACTTAATTGGGTTTTAAGTGGGAGTTATCTTTATTCAATTGGGTTTTGGGAATTCCTTATTTAATTGGGATTGGAATTCTCTTTATAAAGGACCAATTTAACATTACTCAATTTCATCAACGTGTGTGTGCGTCACAAGAATCCAACGTTTTTTTTCCTTCTTGAAACCTCGTCGGCAACAATTGTAGGTGTAATGTTATTTTTTTAATTAATTATGAATAACATTCGTATTGTTTAAATGATAAGGATGTTTAGTTGTCTTTCTCTTTTTTCTTTTTTTCTTTTTTTTTTTTTGGTGTGGAGCTCTTAGCGTTTAAAAATTGCACCTCCGCTGAAAAATTCTTGGGTCCGCCGCTGCCTGTGGTTTATCATTTTTACCACTAAGTTCCTTGCGGTTTTCATTTCGTCAATTTTGCCCATGTAATTTTAATTCCAAGCAATTTAAGGAAAAATTCACAATTTCTGTCAAATTATTGTAAGTGCATTATTTATCGAATACATATCTTTCACGTGGAGATGCATTTAGGTCCAATCATTGACAAAATAAAAGAAGAGAAACAAACAGGACAACCAGTCTCACACTTACTTTTAAAATATTCTATTTATAGTGTATGGTCATACAACTGTACTCTTTAAAGAAAGAAACATTGTAAGTCGAGTATAAGAAACATACCATGTCTATACAATAAGAAACATAAATAATATACAATAATACTAAACATACCATGTCTATACAGTATACTATTTATAGACATGGTATGTTTAGAGAAAGCCGAATTACAGTCAAGGATAAGACTATCCAGGAAATTATTAGAATTAATATTATTCTTTTGACTCTTATAATACCCCCAACAATTCACATCTGTCTAAGGCTTTTGTTCATTTTTTGTTTCAGAAGCTTTTCTTTGTTCAAGTGAAAAAGTTATAAGTTTTTGTTTTGGTACAAAGGTAGTTTTAAGTTTCAATTCGCCATGACTCAACATTCAATGCTATAATCCAAGCACAATTCAACATTTAAAAATGGTTGTGGTAAGCCAATAGCATTATACATAAAAAGAGTTACAAAATTTGTAACAAAAAAGAACGGGTTACAAAACCATTGACTTTACAGCGAGAATAATACTACGGCAGAAGCCCAGCAGATCGTCTGGTCTGGCATTATGAAAAGAAGGGTGAATTGACTGTGCGCAGTGCCTATGAAGTAGCACGTCAGTTCCTTTTTGAGGAGGCAGGGGAAGGCACTTCAGATCGCACTCTGTCCTACGGTGTTTCAACGCAAGCGTGGTCCCGGCTTTGGCAAATTTGTGTTCCTCCCAAGGTTAAGGTGCTCATCTGGCGTGTGCTTCTCAACATCCTTCCCACAAGAGAACGGCTGCGCAGCAAAGGAATCCAAGGGGATGTTGGTGTTTGTGGGTTGTGTGGGGCCCGGGAGGAGACACTACATCATGTTCTCTTGGACTGCTCTTTCACAGCTTTAATCTGGCAGAACAGCCCTTTGCAGACTGAATGGCGTGATCATGATACACGGGACCTCAATGGCTGGCTCGAGCATATTCTGATGGGTGGGGATCGTCATAAAACTGAGCTTCTTTTTATGCTTATATGGAATCTCTGGAATGAGCGCAACACGGTCGTATGGACAGCAAAGCGTAGAAGCCCTTGTGAAGTTGTTGATGGCGCTGTGCGATTGCTGCAAGAATTCAAAGAGCATCAGCCTACCATGTTGCAGCCGCTCTCACGAGCCCAGGCGAAATGGCAGAAACCCCCTCTTGGAGCCATAAAGATCAATGTTGATGGGGCTCTCCATGTGCAAACTGGTTCCGGAGGAGGGGGGATTATGGCTCGAGACTCTGCAGGATGTTTCGTGGCTGCCCGTGCATGTCGATTCAGCCACGTCTCTTCCCTAGAACATGCTGAAATTCTTGCTCTCCGTGCAGCCATTCTATTTTCCCATGACCTTGGCCCGGGGCCAAAGATCATTGAGGGTGATGCGCAAGGAGTGATTCAGACTGTCCAAACCGCGCATGAGGATAGGTCCATTTTAAGTTTTCTGTTTTCAGATTGCAAGTTTTTACTTTCCCAGTTAGAGAATACTTCTATTCAGTTTGCTTTTAGAGAGGCTAATCGAGTAGCCCACCGCTTAGCTCGTTTGGCTATTACCTTACCAGGAACATTAACGTGGCTACAGGACCCTCCTGATGCCGTGTGTGATGTTTTGGTAGAGGATATTTTGTAATCTCTTTTTGTCTTCAATGAAATCGCTTTATCTCAACAAAAAAAAAAAAAAAAAAACTAATAAAGAGTATTAGTATTATTGTATATTATTTATGTTTCTTATTGAATAGACATGGTATGCTTCTTACACTCGACTTACAATGTTTCTTTCTTTAAAGAGTATAGCCGTACAGTCATACACTATAGACACGATATATTTATCGAATCATACCATGTCTCTAATTCGGCTTTCTTTAAAACATACTATTTATGTTTCTTATTGTATAAACATGGTATATCTCTACACACGCGGCCATACACTATAAATAGTATATTTTAAAACATACCATGTTAATTCAAACATGGTATACCGTATAGCCATGTCTATAGGCCCCTTTTGGTTCACAGAACGGATTTGAGGAGAAATCACTTCACATGTCATTTCCCAAGGGATGAGAAATGAAATATTCATTTTCCACATTTGGTATTGTTGGGAAAGTAATCGGGAGATATTATTTTATTTTCTTTCCCATGTTTGTTTTGAGTAGGAATGGAAAACAAAGTTTGTATAATTTTCCAATTATACCCATATTAAATCAAATAAAAAAGAATGCATTTAATGATATATTGTAATTCTAAATTGTTAATGAGGACAAAATGGTCATGAAAAATGTGTATTTAATGTTGGTTCATTTTCCCAAACTTTCCCATGAAGAGGGAAAACAAAACCCAAGTTGGGAGGAGGGGCTTCACTTTCCCTCGTACTGTCCCATGTGCCCGACAATAATTTCCCATGCCAAGACTTACCAAAACATGGGAAAGCAATTGATTTCTCATTCCCAAGTCTCTTTTCCCATGAACCAAATGGGACCATAGTGTATGGCCACACATGTTATAATAAAACATACCATGGTATATATACAAAAGGAGAAGGCTACCACAACACTAGCGGTGAGAGATCAGCTGGAGTCACAAGGGCCGCACCCAACACCCGCTCTGCTCTCAGCAAATCCCAACTAACCTCCTTCCGGCGAGCACAAGCTGCATCAAAACACCATGCAAGACCCAGACGAGCAGAGCCCAACCCTTTGGCCTTGAGGTTAAACCGGTCGCCTTCCTCTCTCCCTTATTTTTTTTGGACCGAAATACCCCTCCAAGCAAGTGGCATGTGTTTCTTAAGTAACGGCATTTACAATTATTTGACAAAAATTGATAATTATCCTTAAATTTCTTGGAATTGAAATAATATGATCAAAATTGACGAAATTAAAACCAGGAACAAAAAGTGACTTTTTGCCATGTGTTCTTCTTTGTTTAGTTGCTCGAGTTTAATCACATTTTCATCTCTCGATATTACGCGGGATATAATCTATAATGTGTTTCCTTTCCTCTGAATCAAATCAAGGGCATAACTTATCTGCACTTGGAATTGTGAAGGCTCATTTTGTTCTCATGCTCACTACCTATATGAGGAAAGTCCTCTATGGATTGCATCATGGAGTGAGAGGAAAAAAATAAATTTAAAACATGTGAATATTGCATCGTAGCTAGGTTCATTTTAAGCATGTCAATATGCATACGAACCATGATATCTTTACAATCAATCTTGCTGTACTTGTATATTTCTTGTTAAGTCATTACTTGGATTTCATGCTGAGCAATGTTATGCAAAACATGGCTTTGTTAGTTTAATCCAACACTTATTTGAAATTTCCAATGCATGTATTGGCTGTATCTAGCGATCAGCTTTTCATGTGACTTGTTGTGCCTTGTGATAGGAACCCTCTTCAAAAAACATCTATGTTGCACCCATGCTCCTCTAGACAGGGGTATGCAAGTATCAGATATGATACTTACTTGATACGTCCCCTATACGTATTAGATATGCGAAATGGAGTATTGTGGACTTTCAGCGAAGTTGACTGGCTGATACATCTCCAATACACGAAGGATACGGGCACGATACTGTCCCGATACGGTCAAGGATACGGTGGGGTTATTTTGCAAATATTAGAAAACTTTTGTGTGTTTTTTAAAACAAAAAGAATATTTGGGCTGAAGAAGGTAAATTGCGAAACCTGATATTGTAAAACACGTGTCGACATCGAGGCTAGGTTTTAGTTTTAGGGGATGCTTTTCTCTCTGCTCTGCTCAGATCCATTCCAACGAAGAGAAAGAAAAAGAAACACTGAAAAAGGAAGAAGGCGGCAACTCGACCCAACCAGTGGTATTTTGAGTCGGTTCTTCTTTTCTTCATAGTTGCTGCTGCTGACTGTATCTTCTGTTCTTCTTTTCTTATGGAGACTAGTATTTTGTTTTATGCATTGAATAATTATAACATGATGGATGAAATATCAATTTTGCTATTTATTATTTTTAATTTATATTATTTTAATCTCCGTATCAGGACGTACCTGTATCCCAGTTTTTGACGTATCGGCTTATCGTATTGTATCCGTACCGGTACCGGTGCAACATAGATAAACATACAAATTTATGTTTGTATACAGAAGAAACAACAAAGTCAAAATATTTTTCATAACGTTTTGAAGTTGTTCTCAAAAGCAAATCTGGTGCCAAACAAAAGAAGATGCAATGGGAGTCTCCCGTGGACCAAGGCTTTCTGGGATGCAGAAACAAGTCCTTAGTCTATACAGAGGGTTTCTGAGGGCAGCCCGTGCAAAATCTGCTCAAGATCGACAGCAGATTGAGTCACTTGTGTCAAGTGAGTTCCGCCGGAATGCCAAGGAGGTAGACCGCAAAAATTTCCTTTACATTGAGTACTTGCTTCGCCGCGCTAAGAAACAGCTTGATCAGCTCAGGAGCCCCGATATTGTTGGATTATCAGCCCTGAATGTCAGTTTTTTGCAGACAAAACATCCTCCAAATTGAAGTAAGAATTTCATCTATTCTTATTTACTTGTCGAGCCAAATTTAGTTTGATCCATTGTTTAAACAGAGTAACAGAGCAAAATAAATTTTTGGCAGAAATTTCCATGTTACTATAAAATCTCAATGTAATCTCTAAATTGTGCAATTCATTGATGGTCATGGTCTTCTAAGGCTGTGTGTTGATTATCTTCCAGATAATAATAGCTTATTGATCTTTGTTGATAGTTCAAGTCCTGTTTTCTGTGTTGCTTATTGTTCGTTAGACGATAAAAAAAAAACCAATGATTGATTTGAGACAAGTAGCGATAGAAGATTGTGGTTTGTTTGATGGGAATGGTAAGCAAATGTTACTTTCGAAGACTGATCAATAAAAGGATACATGGAAATATAATTCGAAGTTGCACTTAACAGACTTGAAATAGAAAAAATATCTCGTGAATGTGCCTCCCCATTGTCCCCAACTTAATGGCTCACTAAAGCAAGACCCAAAAACCAAAACTGCAACAATCTAAGAAATGGAGAAGACAATAAAACCCAGAAGAGCAAACAAGGAAAAGAACCCAACAAGATGGTACGGCCATAAAACAGAACAGGAACCCAAATTCAACCTTGACAACTAGGAACTAAAACCTCAAGCAAAGAATGCTCATTGCACAAAAGCATCTTTATACAATTAAAGCAGTCCATTGTATCAAAAGAAAATGGTATTGAAGCAAACCAATGCTTTTCTTACTATGAGCTTATTATTTTCATGCGATATAAAAGAGGATTTGCTTATATTGCTCAATTTTCCATCTAGTATAACTGATATATCTGTCTTATAAGGCGAGACAAATAATATGAGAATGGGGGTTAAGTCAGTTGGCCAATGCATTAAGCTGGACCCTTTGCACTCAAGTTTGAATCCCACTCCCCGTAAATTAGATTAATTTAGAGACGATTATCACTTGCATTAAAAAAAAATAGAAACATATATATAGAAGTTTACCAGTTTTGATCTCTCTTTTGCATTTTCTTTCTCAATTTTAATTTGTTAGTTTATTTATTTCACTCTTCCCCTAACTTGTGCTGTCTTCTAGACTACATTGACTATGAAGGATGCTGCATTTTAGGTTCAGATTAATCAAAGTCTGACACCACATATACATGCTCTGTTTATTTAATCGGGTAG